GGATATGCATGTTGCTTATATGCTTATAGGTTCAGTTTATGTTTATGGAGTTTTATGTTAAGACTGGTTGTTTACTATGTTTATTTGGTGAGCATGGGGATTGTCCATGACACATAGTATTGTTATGTCTTGATTATGTCTTGAGTCTTTTGGAGTTGTAATAATGTATCAGGATATTGTCCGGATTATGAGATGTAATACCGTGATTTAGATACACACTTTATTTATATATTGAGGTATTTCAGTATATGTCTTATTGCAATTTACATACAGGCGTTATTTTATGAAATTGATTAAGTAATCAAGTTGGTAATTGATAATGACGTCATAATTGAAAAGAAAAAGAATATTCCGCATTTTTAATTAAGCACCGCTTAATACGATGCAATGTTAATATTCCGAGTATACATGGGGAGTTACATCAAGCATCTCTAAACCCTTCTCTCTCAACCTCATAACCTCCAACAAATATCATACGCAATAATAACGAACTGGGTGTACAATGGGGCATTACATCTCTCAACAGATTGAGTTCACCTTTGCATGATATATTCTATTTCATAAAAAAATTTGGTTTACGTACATGGTTCATCAACTAAATTTTGGGTGTCATAAATAAATTATAATCAACTAATTTTTTTTCAGATCAAATTCAAGAAAGAATATCCACTCTTGATAGTCAACGTGGTACGCGTTTCCTTATTTTAATACAGTTATTATTATGTTAGTTTGTAATTGTGTTACTGTACAAAAAGTTTTACAAAACTTACCTATTGTAATTGTTTTTTGTTATTTTTTTTCCTTTTTCTTTTTGTTAAAAATAATGATATAAATAATCGCTATGTGCTAATGATTACTTCTGTCAGTGAAGGTTATTGTATAAATTTAAGGTTTTATATTTGATTATTACGAGTTAAAATTGTTTATCTAACATCGGTACTACATATTTGCATATATTCAGATTAGGCTCGAAATTGTTTATCTTCCAAACATTACTTCTGTCAACGAAGGTTATTGTATAAATTTAAGATTTTATATTTGATTATTACGACTAAAATTGTTTATCTAACATCAGTACTTTTTAAGGTACTTTTCTGCATCAGTGCTCGAAATATTTACCTTTGACTATATTATATTGTTCTAATTACTTCTATTTGTTTGATTAAATGTAACAGATGTTTGTACAATTCAGTTCCAGAAACGTAGACTACCTCATGCTCAAATCATACTGTTCTTGCACTCTTCTAACAAGCCTGATAGTGGAATTGAAAATGATAAATTGATTTTAGTAGAGATTCCTAATAAAGATAGCGATCATTCACTGTTTGTAGCTGTCAACAGTTACATGATGCATGGTCCTTGCGGTCCTAACAATTACAAGTCTCTTTGTATAAAGGAGGAAAGGTGTTCAAATAAATTTTCCAAGAAATTCTACTCCCGTATGTTTACTGACGATGATGGATTCCCTCATTATAAGAGAAGAAATGATGGGAGGTTTGTGAAAAAAAATAAAAAACAGTGTTGAACTTGATAATCGTTATGTTGTGCCGTTTAATGCAAACCTTCTTTTAAAGTATCAAGCTCATATTAACGTTCAACATACCTATGAGAGTAGTTCCATTAAATATCTTTTTAATTGGTTCTATTTAGATACCTTCATTTTATCGTAAGCAATAAATCTGACTTATAGATGCCTTTTTGGTTCAGTTGTTTTTAAATTCTTTTTGTAGAAAATAAATAAATATAAGCAACCATAATAAATATGAAACCACGCAAAGTTTTTTTGGCTCTATAATAAAATAAAAATTAATCCAAATTTTCTTCTATCAGCCTATTTCATGTGGGTGTTAAAATATCAATGTCATCGATTTAATGAGTTTTTGATTGTATATCGCAAGCATAAATGTGGTGGCAGAAGCAGATGTCCGTGGTCATGCAAAATCATAGTAAAGCACATGGTTGGTATGTTGAGCGCATTAACTTTGTGCGGAATTATTCTCAATTTTGTCACATTTTTTATATTTCTTTTGAATAGGACAATGTGTCATCTGATCACTATTGCTGCTGCATGTGTTGCTGTATTTGAAGGCTAAATTATTGAGTACATAACTATATTTGATTTGCATAATAATCGATGTCTCTGAATTACAGTGGTTGATATTTTCAAAATTTTGTGTGCATGCTATAACTTTTTGAACTTCAAAAATAGCACGTCAGTTCTTTTTTATTTCAAATATTTCTCAAGTTAAAGGTTTGCATTTTTCATTTTTGTTCCTTCATGCTTTTGCCTCCACCATTGTACCATTAAGGGCTTCATAGCAATATGAACTTCTTCATTTCTCTTGGAGGTTAATCAACCATGGTCGACAAATATTCCGATTTCTCCCCATACATCGCACTGGTAATATATTAACTAAAGCAGTTTTGAATCAATATATTGGGATTTTCGTGAGTTTAATACTAAATCCTCATATTGCTGAAGGACTAAAAATTCTTTCTACTAAAAGATAACACAAATAGAATAATATAACAAATATATGATATTCATGGTTAGAAGACACAAATTTTTTATATGAGCTTTTTACGTTGTGTATTATTTCGAAAAGTTTGTACGAGCTTTTTACATCAAGAAACTATTCTTTTTCAAAATAAAAATCTTTTTTTTTCTTTTTCAGTCTACATATGTATTTTGATATAACATTGAAAATAGCAAAAGCTAAAATGATACTATATCGTTTGAAGACTATAAGCCCACTATGTTCCCTTTCGGGATGGAGTTACTGTATGGGTTATACCTCCAGCATAAGTAGAGACCAAGGTAAGAGATATAGTCCCAAGTATGAAGCTAACAGATGAAAAAAGGGATCGGGTGTGTGTGTATGTGACTCAAAATAAATGGGCAGAATAACGATACATAAGATACCTCTCCTTGTGTGTGGAGAGGGGTTTATATAGGGGAAGATGGTGTTGATCTTGTATGGGTTGGTGAGGAGGGGGTCAACCCTCCTTGGGATTTGTCAAGGGTGGCAGGCGCTGCTAAGGGTGGCAGACACTGCTAAGGTAGTAGTGATGCACTCCCTGTGCCTGGCGATGTCAGCATGTGACAATGGGCAGTTACCTCTTATAGTACCTGGGGCAGTCTCCTTGGGAGTTATAATCCCAAGATGAGACATTTTGGTGTCTCACCTAGGGAGCATCATCGCTTTGGGGGTAGGGAAGCTGAGGGTTGGTAGAGCTGACGTGGATAGAGGATTTGGGCTTAGACCTTTGGGCCACTATGTCGTTTGGGCCATCCGATACAGATACCCCTTTTTTTTGGAAGATAAAATGATATCTTTTTGGGAAAGGATCCAGTTACAATTTTTTTTTACAAATTACACTAAGTATGACCGGTCATACACTCTTGATTCAAGTATGACCGGTCCTACTTAGTGTAGTTTGTAAACAAAAAGTTTGTAAATATAACTTTCTCTTATCTTTTTATATGTTAAGATTTTTGCCTTTTGAAAAAAATTATTGCTTTTTATTTAAAAGTTATTTTTATGGGTTCATTTTTTCCACAATCAATGTAGATAAGTTATCTAATGTACATTGATAACTTATCTACATTGAGCATAAAATGATAAGATGGAAATGAAGGTATTTTTATAATTATAATTTATTTCAGGGTTATAATAATCTTTTTAATTATAATTTTTAATCTTTCAATTCAAAATGACGTCGTTTTGAGAGTGAATGTAGATAAGTATATCTACCTTCAATGTAGAAATATTAAAGCCATTTATATATGATCCAAACATAAAAGAAGTCTAACTTTTGAAAAAAAAAAATTAGAAAGAAAATAAAAAAATCAAAGAAAAATATGAGAATATCGTAATCATTCTTTTTATAATACAAATTATATTCTTATATAAGATTTAAAATAAATAAAATGAGTGATTAGATATCAATGCACCATTATATTTTGCATGATGGTTTTAATCAAGGGTTATTGGGTTTTAATAGAGGAGTTTAAAGTTTCTACTACTGTAAACATATCTACGCATGTAAAAGTACGTGTGACACATAATAACAAAATTTTAAACCCTTTAATATAGACAATGGGAATGGAGAATAATAAAACTGGGAAAAATATTTATCATGCTTTTCTCTTGAAATCCCAATCTACATTGTTTTAAGAGTTGGGGTATTAACGAAGTAAGTATACTCTAGGATTTTTATTGTATTTTTATCGTATGAATTTTATTAAAAAATTATTTATTAATTTCCTAACCCTGTAAACGACATAATTTAAAATCATTGAAGATAACTTTATCTTTTTTAAAAGAGAAATAATAAATCCAATAAAATTTAGGGACAGAGCATTATTAATATAGTTTCTCATGTTTGTCTCATGTATACAATAAAATAGACGAGACCCATTTATTTATTTTTCTCTTCTTTTTACTCGATCATATGATTCATATCTACTTTTTTTTTGTATATACATAACATCTATTATGTTATATGAGAGTAATATAAATTCGTACACACTCATCAATTGTTATGCCTCTCTTTTCTATATTTTTCTTTTTTAATAAATAATAAGATAATTATATGATTGTATTTGTAACATGACATAATATATCTACAATTGAATAACGAGAGTAATATAACCCAAATTATATTCCCTTGTATATTGGACATGACTTTAGGAAATATGAAAAAGAGTAAATATCTTTTTTTTGGTCTTAAGCAAATTTTATTATGTTCTTTTTAGTCTCTAGCAAATAAAATAGCTATTCGTAGTCCTAAAAAATTTAAAATAGATCCATTTAGTTGAAATCGTGATCCCTCGTAAATTTAAAAAAAATCCACATTAATCTTTAAAAATATTAAAATGAATCCATTTTAAATTAGGGAGGAATCACGAATAACTTTTTTATTTAGGAGGTGCTAAAATTTGCTACCAACAAAACGTATTTCCTCTAACAAAAATTCAGAAGCCAAAGGTCGCAACGTTTCCCCAATTAAAAGATGAAAAACCTTGAAACATGAGAGAAGTTGAATGGGGAGGAGACAGAGGAGAGGAGAAGAAGAGGAGGAAAAGCAACTAGAATAGAACAACACCCAAATTTTCTAAAACACTCTCAACAAATTCATATTCTTCTTTTTCTCTCAAAACTATCTTCGATTCTGTAACCGTAAGTCACCGCTCTTTTCTACTTCATATTTTTTTTTTCGCTCTTTCTTCACCCCATCGACTCAATCTCCTTTTATTCTCACTTTTCAATCCAAATTCGTTAACTTAGACTGATTCTACTGATACCCTTTTTTTTATTGTTATTTTTTCTTACATTGAAAATTAGGGTTTCGTTGGCCGGCGATTACCAATTTACCATTGACTCCCGGAATTTTCTGTTATTACCAGAAGCTTTGAGGTCCTTGCGGTAGAAGACTCGGTATGGTCGTGTTTTGAGTTAGAGTGGTGGGTAATTTTGGATTCTGCTTGTTACTGTTTTCTTCAACTGAGTAAATTTTATTTTCATTTCCTGTTTATGAACTTGTGTGCCTTGTGAATTGTGATGAATATATTACACAAGTAGAGGAATATGTTTCTTTTATTTTATTTTATTTTAATTTTGTTGGGTGTGGTTTCCTTTTTTATTTTCATTTAGTTGCAGTTGCTATTGTTATATTCCATTATATGTTGATTCCTTTTCCATGTGCCAAACATAAGAACGTAATGCAATGTTTTAAAAGTAAAAATGCTGAGACCTTAGTTGATGGTGAGGAATAATATGACTGGAGACACAGTTGGTTCACGGCTTGACCCTGGTGAGGGTTTTAAAACATTGATATAATGGAATGCAATGACATTCCATTCCTGTACCAAACACCCGAATAAAAGGACAACTTGGTGCTATAAAGCGCTCGTTTTGTCCGCGGAGGATTTAGGGAAGAGTCATACCTCTTGTATGGATCTGTTGGGCGCAAGAGACTGATTACATGAATTGAACCTGTGACCTCCGAGTAATATGACAACAACCAGTCTTGTCAGGGTCGTGAGAAAAATCATAGAATCATACGATCCTACGATTCTTTTGCTATTAGAGACTCAACTCGTGAATCGGATCATCACACCAGAAAAAACGTGAAATCAGTAGGATAGTCCGATCTCACTGTTCCAACGATTGTGACAAAAAAGCTCATACTCAGAAGTTTGACCTGGAAAACTTGTCTATTAAAATAAAAAAAAATCCAAATTCGAAAACCCTACTCCATTTTTTTTTATCTCATTCTTACTTGCCATCTCCGCATTCTCCTTGCAGACCGACCTAAAGGCTGCGACTTGGCGGTGCGACTGGCTGGTGACTGCCCTTGGCGGTGCGACCGGCTGGTGACTGCAGTTGGCGGTGTGACCTGTGCCCTTTCTTTTTTAGGATGCACTTTCTATTCTCAGTATGTTGAGTTGCGTCTGTTGCCTGTTGGTATAGGCTGCACTTTTTTTTTTCCTAATATTATTTGAATATTGAGCGCGTCTTAATTATTTGTTTGAGAAATTGCCTGCACTTTCTATTTCTTTCTTAAATATTAAATGTTAATTCTTCGCCTTCTATTTTATTATTTTTTCCTTAAATATTAAATTGTAATTTTGCACTTTTTTGTCATTTCTGCTCTTGTTTGCTTAAATGTTAAGCATCTTTTGAGTTGGTCTTAGTCCTGTTTGGATAGGAACACAATAGGTGGTGAAACCGTGTTAAATAATATATTTGCGTAACGTTCTCTATGTTAAATGCTTATTAACAATTATACTAAATTGAAATGGTGCCACTGTGTGTTAAGGGATAATTTTGCTTAATGCTTAATATTCTTCTATTTGTGACTGAGGTTAAAATGCTTAATATTTTATTTTTTATAATTAAAATTAAAAAAATGTAGGATCTTACGATCCGTGCCGAACTGCCGATCCCACGATTTACGATCTTGTTATCCCTTTCTGATCTTAGGTGAAATCTCAATCTTGACAACAACACTAACCATCGTGCCAAGGCTTCCCCCTTCCATGGACCCGTTAGATTAGTTTCAAACCATTTTGTTCTGGTTACACCAAAACTTGGTTCTGTGCTGCAACTAACATACACTTATTAGTGGTATTTATGAAAATAATACTGGTCTTGTTGTGGTAAACAACGGTTGAGCGATGCTTTGATAATTTTCTAAAACTCGTGTTGGTCCCACTCTTTTAAACTGTGTAGCTCTCGTATATTTTGTAACTGCTGACCAATGAATAGGTTTGTAAGCTTGAGCATACTGTAGCATCGCCCAAATAATATTGCCCTTGTATTTTCTCTAATTGAATTTGATTGAATTCAATTTGCTAGGCAAGTTGTTAATTTCTTAACTGAAATATGCTTTTGCTTTATAGGAATTGATTGCCATGGACGAATTGCTTTTTAAAGCAAAATGGGAACTCAAACTACGTAGAAATGTTTAAGTCAACAAAGTACTGAGAAAGTAGACTTAGAACGCTGAGGAAGCAGGTGAGAGAAATGGAGTGTAATAAGGATGAGGCCACCAGAGCTAAAGTAATTGCTGAGAGGAAGTTTACTGCAAAGGATACTTTGGGTGCAAAGAAGTTTGCTTTGAAGGCCCAAAATTTATTTCCTGCTCTTGATGGTATTCCTCAATTGGTAGCAACACTTGACGTGTATATTTCTGCTGAGAATAAAATAAATGGAGAAGCAGATTGGTATGGCATACTTGGTGTAGACCCCCTTGCCGATGATGATACAGTCAGGAAACAATACAGGAAGCTAGCTCTCATGCTTCACCCTGACAAGAACAAGTCCATTGGAGCTGACGGTGCCTTTAAACTTATTTCAGAGGCATGGAGTTTACTATCTGATAAGGCTAAAAGGGAAGCTTATGATGAGAAGAGAAATGGTAAAGCACAGAAAGGTCCAACTAAGTTTGGTGGTTCATCAGCAAAAACAGGGGCTAATGGCAGTCACAGCTTTACCAAGACTACCACTTCAAGTGCTACGACTCAGAAGAATACTGCTAAAGAGCACACTTCATCTTCTACCCATAAGTCAAAATCAAATACATTTTGGACTGTTTGCCGTCGATGCAAAATGCAGTATGAGTATCTCAGAGTTTATCTTAACCTTAAACTCTTATGTCCCAACTGCCATAATGCATTTTTGGCTGTAGAAACTGCTCCTCCACCTGCAAGTGGTATTAGACCTGGATATTCGTGGACACAGAATCAGAAAAATTTCAATCACCAATTTCCTAATAAAAGCAAATCTAATGCTGGAAAGAACAACATGGCAGCCCCAAATGTTGGAGGAGGGTCCTATAGTAAAACTGATTCCTATAACAAAACCAGTTTCCAATGGGCTCCATTCTCAAAAACTTCTGGTGTTTCCAATGTGGCTCAGGCTGCAAGTGTGGTTCAGCAGGCATATGATAAGGTGAAGCGAGATCGTGAGGAGGCACAAGCAGCTACCAAAAGGGAAGAGGCCCTAAAAAGGAAACAGCATGTTTCCAAAAGAGGTCACTTTAATCCTGCTAAGAGAAGAAAGGGGGGAATGGAGGATGCAAGTATGAGTAACCATGGTAAGGAACCTGTAAATCGAATGGGAGTGGGAAACGGAGCAGCAGGAGCATCTAACTCGGGCAGATCTAAACAGGGTAATTTTGAATATAGTAGGGTTAGTGGAATCAATAAGACCAGTGGCGCAAGAGATGTCTCCACAATTGAACTTCAGAATCTTCTTATGGAGAAAGCTAGAAAAGAAATTACCAAGAGACTTGGGGAAATTCAGTCAAATACTGCTGATAAAACATTGGTGTTAGACAGTGGAAATGGCTTCCAGAAAGAAAATGAGAATGGAGAAAAATCTTTAAGAGACTGTGAGACACGTGCTCAAAATAACATTGGGAAATCAGAATACAAAAATAGCGGATCCCAAGCCATCAAGTCATTTGCAGGTACTACTATTGCTAAAACAAGTACCAAATTTTTTGAAACTATGCAAATAGATGTCCCTGATCCTGATTTCCATGATTTTTACAAGGATCGAACTGAAAGATCTTTTCGTGAAAATCAAGTATGGGCTGTGTATGATGATGATGATGGGATGCCTCGATGTTATGCAATTATCCGCAGCATGAATTCTCTGAATCCATTCAAGATGCGAATCAGTTGGCTCATCCCAAATACCAACAGCGAACTGGGCCCCCTAAATTGGGTCGCTTCAGGCTTTTCAAAAACTTGTGGGGATTTCAGAATAGGCAGACATGGAATCTGTAACTCCATCAATTTATTTTCTCACAAGGTTAGATGGAGAAAAGGTAATGATGGAGCCGTTCAAATATATCCTATGAAAGGGGATGTTTGGGCCATCTACCAGAACTGGTCTCCTGACTGGAATGAGCTGACAGCAGATGAGGTTATACACAAGTTTGATATGGTTGAAGTGCTTGAGGATTTTACTGAAGAGCACGGTGTAACTGTTATTCCTCTGGTCAAAGTGGCTGGGTTCAAAACTGTATTTCACCACCACTTAGATCCAAGAGAAATCAGGATCATTCCAAGGGAAGAGATATTTAAGTTCTCTCATCGGGTCCCTTCATACTCACTCACTGGTGGAGAAGCTCCAAATGCCCCAAAGGGTTGCAGGGTGCTGGACCCAGCTGCTACTCCATTGGAACTGCTTCAGGTGATAGAAGTTGTGAAGGAGGAAGACATGGTGGACAATGAGGATAATGTTATTAAAGAAACAAGTGATAATATGAAAGAAGCTAATTGTGAGGAAAATATCATTGATGTGGACAAACTTAGGGAGGAAAAGGAGGGAAATAATAAAGATATCAAGGTAATAGAAATTTAGAAAGAGGACAAAGAAAAGAAGAAATGCTGAAGCTTATAGCAGCGAGGGTGTGTGAAATCAACTTCAGGACTATCCTGCCCTTGTTAGAAATGGAAAACACTAGATATCCAGAATTAATTTGACAAAATCAGCCAAAATGAGTTGACATTGTGATTAATTTTTGGATGGCTGAGTATTTCCTATCACTTTGTCTTATGGGACAATCAAAGTTGAATATTGGAGAATTTTGTCAAATTTTTTCTAGCTATGTACTGTTAATCTTTATTGTGGGAAGGTTTCATTCCTGTTATAACATTGCAATTATTGTCTGCAAAGGTTGAAGTTAAATGGTTCAGCTCCAGGTCATACCAAACAAAGCTAAGTATTGGAATGATGAGGCTAGGCCTTACGCAAATTGTTCACCTTCTCCATTGTTGAATGTCTGTCTAGGGGAGGCTTGAGTATAAGGGTCTGGCTCCAAGCTCTTTCCTTTTACTTTTTAGGTTCTTACTCAATTTTGTTTTGTAAATCACATTTAGTGGCATGTTCAACAATTTATGTCCATATAATGATTAATAATAGTACCTTAAAAATTTATTCCAGTTTCATAAATGATGTTTGCTTAACTTATTTTCATAGAATCAATATATTAGATCATTCTGTTATTTATTTATTTTTGTATAGCTAAACATTAATTTTTGACCATATTGGTTCTCTAAATATTTCATCATTAAATTAGTCATTCAAAGATTTAGACTGTCATCATATTATTTGTGTTGAATGTAAACATTTTGTGCTCTATATTTAATTGCTCTCGATACTTAAAATATCAAAGCATTGACTTGGATTTTTTGATGTATTTGGTTGCTTAGTTTTATGTACTATTCAATTTTTTAAAGTATCAAAATAAAATAAAAATTAGACAAATATGTATGTTGAGTTGTAAATTTTTTTTTCCCCCGGAGATTTCTTCACTCAAACTCCAGATCCAGGACTGCATAGCCAAGACCTATGTTGCGCCGTTATTAACACGAGACATGATACAATATTTTTATAGGTTAATTTTAAAAAATATTAGATTTTGACCTGTTGAAATTTGTTTTGATATTAAATAATATTTTTAATTTATATAATGTATATTATATTTAATATTCAATAGTTTAATAAAAAATAAAGTTAAACTTATAATCTTCATCAATTTTGCAAAGAAACATAAGATATTTTAAATATTTATATTAAACTCAATAAATGATAATCGTAATCTAACGAATCTAATAGTTGAAATTAAAAACGCAACACAATCTTTGAGTCCTTTTTCGAGTCTCTGCAACGTGTGTTGAAGTGTCGGGAAGTGTCGAACATGACACATTAATGTTTTTGAAGTATCAGTGCATTACAGGTCAGATTTATGCTCGAGACTAATAATTAAATTGGAACAACTTTGTACCCGCTGATGCATATATTTGGTGGTCAAAATTTCTTTTATTATTATAAAGTGTAATTTTTTTTTTTTTTGGTAGAGACATATGTCTTGGTAAAGAATGGTTTTTATTGCTATAAAATTTTAAGAGGAAGAAATAATATTTGACGTAAATAATTGTTTGCCTTAAGGAAATTGGAGTGTTTAGTCAATGATAAATTATCAAACGGCTTGTGTTATTGATGGATAAATTTTGTGTTGTTTTCAATAATTTTATTTATTGAATTTATGGTGTTATTAAACATTTAAAACTATATATGTGCATCAGTGCATGCAATATTTTTTTCTTTGTTAAATTTTTTTTGGCTTAGACTTGTATGTGACATTGATATGAAATTTATTGTTCATTATTGGTCATACTTGATGCACGTGTATAGCAATGTTACTATAATTAATTTTAGATTCTATCATTTTTATAAGATATCATCTTTAACTTGTGAGTTTCACAAATCAGTAAATTGCATCAAAAACATGTCTAGAAAAAGCTTATCGATCGAGAAATAATCACTTTTTTCAGAAGCTCTCTAGGAAAACTGCAAGAAAAAACGATTGTTTTTTAAAATAAGTCAATCCAAACATAAACTAGAAGAGTTTAGTGTGTGTTAAGACAACTCTTTTTCTAAGAAAAGTAATCATTCCCCTCTCCCTCACAACTCGCAAAAAAAAATAAGACATTCAAATATGTATATAAATATATGTTTAATGTGTAAAAAAAATTGTTTGAGACTGAAAAAAATGGAAAATTCAAAATCCTTGTTTTTTAAAATCGTTTATCATTTTATAGGTTTTATTTTGAGAAAAGTTCAAAAATTCCATATGGTTTCTGTCAGAATTACTTACCCCCTATATTTTATTTTGTATTATTTTTTGTCACTTACTTTGCATGTGGTTTTTTCAATAGTACTACTGTAATATTAGGAAAATTATGATTTGCTTCCATATTTTATTTTTAGAATTTTAATTACCAAATCAATGATAATTTTTAAAAAATATCCATACTGATTGATCCATTAGGCTTGGGATTGCCATAATTTCTTATTTTTTTTTCCTTCACAAATCAACAAATTAAAAGTGCATTATTCTCATTCAAAAAGAAGAGAAACAAATAATAAATTCATAATATATATATATTTTTTCTATATAACTAAAAAAATCATTCTCTATTCTTGGAATAATTTTTTTCATATTTTCACAATGTAATATATATAATATATATATATATATATATATATATATATATATATATATATATATATATATATATATATAAAGCAAAATTTACTACCAATATTATATTATGATTTTATTATTTACTTAACATATTGTTCCGGATGGCCCAATGATCTTGTGGCCCAAGGTCAGGGCCCAAAATCCTATCCACGTTAGCCCTATCAGCCTTCAACCACGCAGAACCCAAGGCAATGATGCTCCCCAAGTGAGACACCAAAATGTCTCATCTAGGGATTATAACTCCTAAAGGAGACCGCCCCAGATGCCATAAGAGGCAACTGCCATTTGCCTCATGCTGACAATCGCTAGGCGCAGGGGGTGCATCACTGCGATCATAGCAGTGTCTGCCGCCCTCAGCAGCGCCTGCCACCCTTAACGAAGCCTGAGAAGAGTTGACCTTTTCCCCTTGAACCCACAGAAGATCAAGGAGACCTTCATCTATAAATACTCCTCTGGACACAAACACACACCCAGCCTTCCATTGTTATTAGTTTGCTTCATTCTTGGAACAGTACTTTCTAGCCTGGTCTTTACCTTCGCTAGAGGTATCATCCATATAGTGACATCATCTCCAAAGGAAACATAGTGGACTTATGGATCCCAACAATATACATATTATATAAGGATTTGAATTTAGTGTATCGTCCTCTTCTTCCTTTGTGTTAGGGTTTAGATGGGTTTCAATTTGACCAAAGAATACCAAACAACATCAAACTTTTATTTATAACTCAAACTCTGGCACTTAATATTTCTTAGTTATAATTAGAATTAGTATTTCTTTGTCAAATTTTTATTTGTATACAAATCAATTTTTGTTATGTAGATTAATGATTAGTTAAAAATTTCATTGTGTACAATATTGGAATGAGCCTACTTTTTATTTTATTTTATTTTTTTATTGAATAATATTGAAATGCATTATGGATATCTTTGGTCTTTGAGTCCTTATTTGTTATGTTTAGCAAGTGTTTATGTAACCTAGAATAACACATTATTTCCGGTGATATTGTCGTTTTACTATATTTTCAACAGTATCTTTAATATATATGTGTTGAGTATGTGTGCCAAAATACTCCCTTGTGATTTCCTCTATAATTATTTACCATTTGTGTATATTTTTTTTTTCTTTTTAATTACTTATTCTCACGTGCTTCTATTTTTAACCATTTTATCCCCTTAGGATTTTTTTACTGCTCACGGGGGGGGGGGGGGGGGAAAGACATATTTATTAAAATTATAATAGTGTTAGAGATGAACTTCAATAAAAAAATTCACATGGAAAATAAGTTATTAAAAAAAATGCATAAGAGAATAAATAATTTTAACGGAAGCCACAACATTTTTTTTTTTGATTTTTTTTTTTTTACCTTTCTTCCATTTCAGTCCATCTTTTATATCATTAAAAAATGGGTTTATTTTATAATTATTTACATTAAACTCAAAACGACGTCATTTTGAGATAAAAATCAAAGTATTTTTGTAATTATAATTTATTTCAGGGTTATAATAGTTTTTTTTATTATAATTTTTTAATTTTTCAACCCAAAACAACGTCATTTTAAGAATAAATATAGATAAATTATTTACATTCACTTTAAAAACACATTAAAGCCTTAAAAAATAAATTAGGTTCTCCATTTTAACATTCTTAATTTCTATTTGCTATTTGCAGGTGATATAGAGGGGCATAAATTCTCTTTGGGAGTACAAGGATAATCAATGTGCTCCTGAGCCACGAGAAATAAAAATATATGTTCATTTGATTTTGTTTTTAAAAATAATTTTTTGATTTTCAGAAAAAAATCTATTTAATAAGACTTATTTGGTAAAAATAATTTTAAAAATTATAATTATTTTTTGGTTTTTTAAATCAAATTTAAAAAAATTATCTGTAATTATTAGAGTAGTTTTTGTTTTGTGTTTTCATTTTTAGCTATAAAAAAAAAGGAAAAACTACTCCTATATTGTTGGAGAATACTTCTATTCTCTACAAATTCATTGATTTTCATGTAATTTATTTTATTTTATTTATAAGTGAGTGAATCTCATCCATGATTATGTCTATAATAGAGAATATTATTAGCCTACAACATAAAATTAATAAAATCCTAAAAAAATATAGAAAACATTTGTTTCATTGATTATTGACTTTAATAGTTCTGCAGTAAATGTAGATATCTATATTCGTTCATAAAATAACGTCGTTTTGAGTTAAAAAATTATAATGAGAAAGACTATTATAATCCTGTAATAAATTATAATTACAAAAATACTTGATTTCTGCATCAAAACGACATCATTTTAGATTCAATGTAAGTAAGTTATCTACGTAGAAAAAGCGAATCCTTGCCTATTTTATAAAACAGTTTAATGAGAGAAAAAAATAAACTCAGCAAAATCAAACATACTCAGTTACTCACTGTTTGAAATTGTTTGTGATACTTTGCAGAGATTATCATGTCATTAAGTGATCCAGAACAATAATAAGAAATAATCTTAAACTAATTACAAATCATGTTTTGAGTTAATCAACTTTAAATAGTAGAAAATAAAACATTTTCATAGTTAACTTTAAAATCTAATATTTCATGCAATGAAACAGAACAAAGGGAACTGAACTCTTATGAAGAAAGCAAATGAAGCTGAACCTTAACCAACATGTGTTGGCGATACTGAGCAAAAGCAATAACCTGAATCATCTGAAGCAACTCCAAGCGTTCCTTATCACCCTCGGTCACTCACAGACCCAATTCTATGCCTTCAAGCTCGTTCGCTTCTGTGCTCTTTCTCTCTCAAACCTTCACTATGCTCGCCTCATATTCGATCACCTTCACTCCCCCAACATCTACCTCTACACCGCCATGATCACCGCCTATGCCTCTCGCCCCCAAGGCCACGGTGACGCCTTTTTCTTGTACCGCAACATGCTCTGCATTCCCACCCCGCGACCCAACCAGTTCATTTACCCCCATGTACTCAAGTGTTGTACCGAATCGTGTGGAACCGATTTGGTGCATGCCCAGATCCTGAAATCGGGTTTTGATGAATACCCAGTTGTGCAAACGGCGCTCGTGGACTCTTACTCGAGGGTTTTGGGTGGTGTGGGGAATGCTAGGAAGGTGTTTGATGAAATGCTTGAGAGAAATGTTGTGTCTTTTACGGCAATGGTTTCTGGGTATGGGAGAATGGGGGATGTTGATAATGCTTTGAAGTTGTTTGATGAAATGCCTGAGAGAGATGTGCCGTCTTGGAATGCTCTCATTGCTGGGTGCACTCAGAATGGGTTTTTCTCTGAGGGGATTAAGTTGTTCAGAGAGATGGTTGTTCTTGCCGTGGAGAAACATTGTCCATGTAACAAGCCGAACCAGGTTACTGTGGTTTGTGCACTTTCAGCATGTGGACACACGGGTATGCTTCAGCTTGGGAAATGGATACATGGTTATGTTTACAAAAATGGTTTTGTTCTTGACTCGTTTATCTCAAATGCTCTTGTGGATATGTATGGGAAGTGCGGAAACCTTGAACAGGCAAGGAAGGTTTTTGAGATGAATCCTGACAAGGGCCTGACTTCGTGGAATTCGATGATTAACTCTTTTGCACTACATGGGCAAAGTGATTGTGCAATTGCCATTTTTGAGCAAATGATGGAGCATGGCGATGATATAAGACCAGATGAAGTCACCTTCATTGGTTTGTTAAATGCTTGTACTCATGGTGGGTTAGTTGAACAAGGTTATCACTATTTTGAGATGATGTCTGAGGAATATGGGATAGAGCCTCGGATTGACCACTATGGCTGTTTGATAGACCTTCTTGGTCGAGCAGGTCGATTTGATGAGGCAATGGAAGTTGTCAGGGGTATGAGTATGGAACCCGATGAGGTGGTATGGGGTTCTTTGCTTAATGGATGTAAGGTTTATGGACGTACAGATTTGGCTGAATTTGCAGCTAAGAAACTAATTGAAATAGATCCCCATAATGGTGGTTATGCTATAATGTTGGCTAATATATATGGGGAGTTAGGAAAGTGGGATGAAGTCCGGAATATATGGAGGATATTAAAGCAGCAAAAGTCTTATAAAATACCAGGTTGTAGCTGGATTGAGGTTGATGACCAGGTTCATCAGTTCTATTCTCTTGATAAATCTAATCCAAAAGCAGAAGAGATGTACAATGTCTTAGAAAGTCTTATTGGTTTTAGAAAGGAAGTCATGGTCGATCTGTAGTCCTTAATGCATAATCTCAGTGCCAATGCTGAGCTTGTTACTGATTCCTGGCATGTACAGCCTTATGGCCAAGGATTTCTTTGGGGATGCCAAATCGTTTGGTATAATTATTCTCTATTTTATTTCAGTTTTGGAGATTTATCAAGAAAAGAGAACTGGAAGAAAAGAAAGGACTTCAGTTGGTTTTGGCTCTCTGTGATTAAGTTAATGCAGAGCAAGATAGTTTACTTTCTGTTTAAAGGCCTTTACAGATTAAACAAAGTTTATAGAGAAAAATGAAAAACCGAAACCGCGGGTCCAATTTTTCTTGCGAAAGGACATTTCAACATTAATTATGTCTTGATGTTGTTGGACTGGTAGAAAGAATTCCAACGAAAGCCCGTGTCTTGGATATGTTTTATTCATTTTGGTGTGATCACAAAGAAAATTGGGTTTGATGTATTTTAATGGTCTTGGAGGATAGAAAAACGATTGGGATTGCTAACTTTTTCAAGATTTGTTAGCTCAGTTACTGTATCATATCAACATGCTTTCTGATTCTTGTCCAGTTCCACCACTGTTTTTTCTTAGTTTGGTATTGGACAGCTTTTGGCAAAGTAACAGCACATGAACACTCACTCACACCCTTTTGTATTTGATTCTCTGGCAGATGAATTTCAAGGATGCTCGACCAATAAGATTATTTGTCGGCTGAAAGTTCACCTTTTATTTTTCTGTTTTGTATATGTATTTACTCTCATATAAGCATACGTTGCTTCACCTACATACTACATAAGGTTTCATTATTCAGCTATAGCGCCTAAATAATTTTTGTTGCTGAATGATAGATTATTTATTTTACACAACATAATGTTAGAATCTGTTAGTAACCTCGACTTAATATGTCACATTGTCTGAAGGGAAATGGGAAATGAAGTTTTTGAGAGCATCAATGGATGGAAAACGTCAACTCCTCATTCTCAGCTTCAAATGGGCCCCATGTTACTATGGTATGTATTTTTTTCATGTATTTTTTTTTTTAATTTTTAATGTTGCTTCATAATTATATAATTCTTAGGTCATACTGTGAACGCTATTAATATATACAGTAAATATTGAGCACAACTTCAAAATAAAGGCGAACATTATCAGAGTAGTAAAGCCAGTGCAGAGCCAGAGTCAATAATAATCAAACAAGATCATTGATGGGGTGATTCATTACATTAAATCAACGGAAGGTCTTGCTACTTGCTAGAGCCCTTATATTCACAAAACACAACTTAAAACAATTTATTTCTGATCATTTAGTCACAAGGAATAAGAGATGATCATTCATCAATAATTCAAAGCTCCTGCTTGGCCTTATTACCCTTGAGCTTGGCTGGCTCATTGTTCCCTGCAATGCTCACCACCCTTGGACCTTTGATATTATCAGATGACAACTTGTTCATCGTCAAAGTCAGCACTCCATTCTCCAGCTTAGCCTTGACAGAATCCAAATCTACATCGTCTGGCACCCTCAACTGCCTCCAGAATTTGCCATAGGATCTCTCCACTCTGTGCCAGTGATCTCCTTTCTTCTCCTCATCTTTCTTCCTTTCTCCACTCACCCTCAGCATCCTGTTCCCCTCCACTTCTAGCTTAATCTCATCTTTCTTCAACCCTGGCACATCCAGCTTTATAACATGCCCCTCTGGTGTCTCTTTCCAGTCTACTCTTGCATGTGATAGAGCCATGGATGGCTCATCTTTGTTAACCTTAAATGGAATTTGCTCTACCACGCAAAGTGGATCAGGTAAACGATCAGACGAGTGACCAGCCCTGAGGTTGCAAAAACCAACAAGAACAAACAAGATTAGTGGCACTAATACCAAGCTTATTGGTTGTTGCATCATTTGTATCTCGGAAGTGTATATGACTGCTGTCTCGGAATTCACTGAAGTATTGGAAGAAATAGATAGATTACAGTGAACTCTGGGTTAGACCTTGGCTTTCTGAAGTTTGTCTTGAAGCAGATTGGAGATACAAGTTTGTTGTGTATATATATAGGGGGGAGATGAAGAGGGATGTGGCGAAGGGTTGATGTGGTTCTCGAAAAGTCGATGCCACATGCACTTTACATGGGGAAATAGAAGCGTTGTTGTGTAGAGAGATGGATAACAGCTTAGGATTATACGTTGGTATTTGGTGTTGGGAGAGTGGCTTCTCCTTTCTCAAGGTGAAAAGAGGGTGTAAGAACTACATGTTCCACAGGCTTCATTATTATTAACAATCTAGGGGGACTAGATACTCTCATGATAGATCATCTGAAAATTTTGCCTATAGGTGGAATTCCATTATAATTTATTAACATAAATAAAAATAAAGATAGACATAAAAATTTCATATAACTATTTTTTTTTTTTATCGATAAAAGTTTAGGTGAGGTTAAACACGATATCTCACTAGGGTTAGAATAGATCTTCCCAATCTCTTTAAAGGTTTTTGAGAGATACAATAGATCACATCACCAATTTGATTATCACATCGCCCTATGTGAAATTTTAATAGAAGATATATATATATATATATATATATATATATATATATATATATATAAAATTAATAAGAATATTCTGTTTACCACAAAATAATAATTTGGTGGGTAAGAACTATTCGTAATTTTAGTGCAAAATATTTAATATTCATAAACATTCTTACTGAAAATTTTATCAAAAAATAAAACTCATTTTTTTTTTGTAAAAATATTACCAAAATCCTTTTCAAATTTAATTTTAATTATAAATAAGGTTTTGTACAAGAAAATATATATTTAAATGAAAATTTATTTAAAATTAAGGGGACTTTTACTTAAAGATTTTTTTACATGTTATTGTAGTTTATAATTCCCGCAGAAATTTTAAAGATTTTTATTTTAGTAAAGAGTTTGTCTTAAAGTTCATTGTTTTAACAAGTCCATTCAGTCTACTCCTGCAGGTGACTTGCACAGCGATGGATGGTCTTCTTAATTGCCAGCCACCAAGTTAATTGTTTATGTTTCAAATTTTTTATGAAAATCCATTACAAGTCTCAAGTTCCCGTTAATATTTCTTGGAATTAGGAGCATGCACGAGCTCGCAAACCCCTTGGAACTAGGAGCATGCACGACGTGTGTGGGTAATGATGGGTTGGCAAATACTCCGTTATTGTTCCTGAAAAGTAGGAAAATGGATTAGGAATCAAAATTTGAATTAAATCCAACGTATTCAGCCTCCGTTAACAATTTGGATCTCAAAAGAATTGATTCGACCCAGCTTCTTTTTGCTCTAATCAGTCCATATCCTAGAAAATTTTGAAGTATGAATTGCTACTGATGCTATGGGTTGGGTACAAGTTGCAAACTAATCCTCTGCAGTGTGTGTTGCCTTGCTAACAGTTGTGCAAGTAATGCGCGCAAGTATACGCGACAACAAGTAATATAGGGCTGTTATAAGTCCCAGTTATCGTTCCCACAAGGATCGTTGGCGTTTTGAAATGACTAAAATTTGTAATTGCTTAAAAACTGAGTTACTATTTGAAAATAAAAGAAATAAAATTGTAAGGTAAAAAAAAAATCTAGAATGGACCTAAAACACTACTGTTCACTTTTCTTTTAAAATTTTCTGAAGTACTTTCCTAAGTTATAAAATAAGAAGTAAGAATGAAGCAACTTAAATGACAGATGTGACAAAGATTTTGGAAACAGAACAGAGATTGAAATATGAAATAACAAAGGAAATTAGAAATCTGAGTTGATAAAGAAGTTCAAAAAGGTGGGTTGAGTTCTGGCTCTCCTTCCCCACAGTGCTTGAAAAATAATTTGATTAACAAAAAGCTCATCCTAAGATTCTCAGTTAACAGAACTGTATTGTTAATTTTAATCTCTTAAAAATTATTTTATCCCAAAGTTGCCCACTTCCATATCTCTATGCCAAGTGGGATTACGACTCTTGAGACTCAGGTCCAATAATACATGAGGTCTCATTCATTTCTGAAATGAGATCCCTTAGATGATTTCTCATCTAAGTCCATGTGTCTAATGCAGAATCCAGAGTTAGTTGTTTCTCAACAACTAAATCCTAACCAAACCTCTGACATTCGGCCAAAATGCAGATAATTTTACACATTAGAAAAAGCATTAAACAACTGAGATATAAAAATTAAAACCAGAAAACCAAACGTTTAACAAGCACTGAGGTTTGGGTATCACCTAAACCCAACCTCTAAAAAGTTAGCCACTATCCATATGGATGATGCTTACAAACAGTAACAGAGAACTACAGAAATCACAAAATAAAAATTCTAAAAACTAAATTACAGCACTGGCCTAACAACCGGCAATCTCAGTGCTGTAAAGACATGCATCAAGTTCATCCAATGAACCAAAATATCATTACAAAACAGAACTTAAAAGAAAATAAAATAAAATAGTTCAGAAAACAAAAACTAAAAACAGTAACTCAGAATCAGTGAAGGAAGAACCCACCACTTTGACTCACTCCTCTTTCCCTTTTTATAGGGCTCCTTTCCTTCCTTTTTACGATTTTCCTCTCCAGCTCAGCAATATAATGCGCTGCAACTAGGTGGTCCCCACAGTGCTCCACTCCTCTGCTCAAACAATCCAGATGGAATTTGTCGCTCCTTCAACCCGTACACTGATGTGTGCTCACAATCGCTCCAGCCTCCACTAAGTAACAGATTTCTGTTTGGCTTTTTCTGAACCCAAAAAAATAGTGGCTAGGGTTTTTTGTGTTTTCTTCCTTAATGGACTGTGGGTGTGGGTTATGTTGGACGGATGAACCGCGGACAAAGGATATTCTGACCTTATGGATCGATTTGGGGCAGGGATTAGAGATGAAGGGTGTTGGTTCGGATTGCACGATGTGAGCGCTAGGGTTTTTTTCTCTCTCCTTTTTTTTCTTCTTTGCGTTTCTGCTTCAGACTTCTCTTTCTTTCTTTTCTTTTCCTTTTCTTTTGCTTCTTTCTTCCTTTCCTTTATGGGCTTTAGTATTTTAGGTCCGGCCCATCACTTTCTTTTTGCTTTTCCTTGTCTTTTCTTCTTGCTTCATTTCCTGATGATTGTTAACAAAATGGGCCTGTAAAATAACAAGTTTAAGCCCATTAGCACTTAAGCCCATTAAATTTCAGCTCACATGAATTTTTGGGGTATTTTAATCACAAAAGTCATTCATTTCTCACCAATTACACTCTAAACCATATGTTCTAAGTCTCATTAAAGAGACTTATCACACCCCCAAACTTACATTGTTACTTGTCCTCAAGTAACAGAAAAAATTAGCACATGGATTTAGTAAATTAACCATTCTTCTCAACCAGGAAACAAATTTTGTTATGACCTCTAATATTGCAGCCATGAAAGCAGGATTAGCCCCAGGGACTGCTATGACCTCTAATATTGCAGCCATGAAAGCAGGATCATGCTTCTTGACATACTTGGCAAACTCATCTTTAGAGGCCTTAGGTAGGGAAAAGAATTCCCTAATAACCTTGGGTTCAAAGGAAACTTTAATGCCCCTGACACTAACCTCAGTTTGACTGTCATTCAAGATTTCTGCATAAAATTCCCTTACCACATTGACATTAGCCACATCCTTAGGATGCAGGTAAAACTGTTCCCAATGTTGGGTTTTTACTACCTCATGCACATATTCAGGATAAGAGGCATTTTCCTCAAATCCCTTGTCAGGGGTAGGGTCCCTAGCAAGCATAGTTTTTTCAAACCTTTCTATTGCTTTTTCACATGTGAAAGAGGAGAGGGAAAAACTCTCAGGATCAGGTGTGTGAGGTGTAAGCTTTGGACTGTGAGGTCCTCCACTACGCAAGATATGTTTTCTAACCATGATGCCTAAAAAAATATATTAAAACAGCAAATTGAAATTACCAAAAACAGAAATAAAATAGCAAAAATAAAACTGAGTTGATACTCAGACCACTCCCCCAAACTTTATACTAAATTTGCTTCCAGAAATCAGCAAACAGAATTCGCTTAACACCTGAAAACAAAAAGAATGAGAGTGTCAGGACTCAGATATTTTATCTGCAAAAGTTTTTTTTTTTTTTTTTAAACAACTGAAAAACAGTAACTGAAGTATATACAAAACACAACAGTAACAAAGCTTAATTTCTGATTAGAGTCTCAAGCTAGACTCTTCACTGTTCGTTTGTGTTTAAATGGTGGGAGGGTCAGCAAGAGATATTGAGATTTGAGCTTTCTCAATTCCCTCCCCAAATAATTTTTAAGCCTTTGACCATTGACAGTGAACTTGGTCCCATCTTTCTCATTTAAAATGTCCACTGCACCATGCAAATGGACTTTTGTTACCTTAAATGGACCAGACCACCTAGACTTTAACTTTCCCGGGAAGAATTTTAGCCTAGAATTAAAGAACAGGACCTGTTGTCCTTCAAAAAACTGCCTATCTGAAATTTTCTTATCATGCAATCTCTTCATTTGTTCTTTATACAGCTTGGCATTTTCATAAGCATTTAATCTAAATTCATCCATTTCATTCAGTTGGAGAATTCTCTTTTCTCCAGAGGCAGTGGTATCAACATTCAGTTGAGTAGTAGCCCAGTATGCTTTATACTCCAACTCTAAAGGTAAATGACAATTTTTACCAAAAATCAATTTGTAAGGTGAGCAACCTAAAGGTGTTCTATAGGCTGTCCTATAAGCCCACAAGGAGTCATCTAATTTCAAGGACCAATCCTTCCTTGAAGGATTCACAACTTTTTCCAGAATTCTTTTCACTTCCCTATTTGTGACTTATACTTGCCCACTGGTTTGTGGGTGGTAAGCAGTAGAGACTTTATGCTTAACTCCATATTTAGCCAAAAGGGCTTCAAATTGTCTACT